CCAAGCTTCAGTGAAATGTATTAGCCTCAACCTTTCACCTTGCTGCTGCTGAAGATACAGGTGGCTTTGCATTGGTTGCAGTGGAAGCTGCTGCAACACTAGCATTTTGTTGATTAATGCTAATAGAAATGGGTGGTGGTACTGGTGATGGTGGTGGAATTAGTGGTGGTAGTATTGGTGATGGTAACATTGACAATGGGTGAGCTACTTGTGCCACTGATGGCAGGTGTAGCTGATGACACAACTGACTTTGTTGGATAAATTGATTCAAACATAAATACAGATAACCTGTAAAAAGGTGGAGAAGTAGCAGGAGGTTATTGCACACTACATGCAAGAGAAAATAGTGGGTTGCTGTCTGACATCCTCAGACTCTTCTCCTGTCATACTTTAGTTGAGTAGCTCTTGGCAAAGGTTAAAGTGCTATGTCTGCGGTGCTTTGGGAAACAGCAATATAATTGCCAGTTTTATCAAACCAATGCATCAAAAAAAGCTAAAAAAAATCCTCCTGTGTGAAGAATTATGCATAATGGAGACACTATTCCCGTTATTCTGAGGCTAAATGCTAACTGCACTGGTGGCAGCAGTTGTCATGGTCGAGGAAGACCCTTCTAGAGTCTGTGACACTATTGCTAATAATGGGTTGGGGAATACAACCCCTAATCTCCCTCAATTTCATCTTGTGATAAGTGTTTGATATTGATGATCTCCAAATTAAGTAAGTATAGTAGCACTGCCACTAGCAGTGGCTAGGCACAGCAGTAACCTATCCTGTTAATGACCCATCTATCTATCTCTCACTTAAAGTTGGTGGCACTTGCAGAAGTTAAAGTGAAAGAGAAAAAGGTCATAGTGCAAACATAGTCACAATTTTAAGAGCCAAATAAGTTAGGCTCTGAACTATAGAAGCATTTCATCCACTCTTTGGGATAGCAGGGTCTGGTGGCTCTTCTCAGACTTCTCTCCAGGAACTCAGGAACCAAGCTTAGGTTGATAAAAAGGAATATATTACATCAAATATAAAATAACAAAATTAAATTAAAATAGCATAACGTGTTTTGACCATGTGACGGACCGCCTGGTACTCCGACCGAGTACCTCTGTCAATCGCTGCTACCTAGTACTTGTAAGTACCATCAGCACTGCATTGGAATACCATAACCACCGTAAACCCCACAAACCACCGCAGCTTGGTTGGGGTCTCACCGTCCTCCACCCACCTTGGATGCAAGACCAGGATCCAGCTTCCAGTGGGTATGCCTCTCCTAGTCCAGAAAGTGTAGCAGGAACAGCTCTTACAAGAGCTTAGTGATTATACTCAGTGGAGTATAGTGATTATAGCAATCCCCAGAGTGTATGAAGTTCTCCAATCCCCCAAACATGAGCCTAAACTTCATGAAGGGTAGAACAAGTCTGTTTCATGGAAACCAAATCTGGCCTTTTATGCAAATTTCCCAACAAGGTTGACGCCCAGGTGGAACTTGTTGGGCACAGGGTCACAAAGTGTACAAGCCAATAGAAACAATGTAACAATGAATGACACTCCCACATACAGTTCACTATCCCCTCTGCCTATGATATAATTAAGGCAGATAATACATTAACTTAATTATCCCCAGGCAGAAAAAACACACATTTTTACAAAGTATGAAAAGTACCCCAAAAACACATGATATCCACATACCCCATGCCAGGTATTGAACAGGTGTAGCTGCTGCCTCGCTAAATTAATGCCCAAATCTGACCATGACCGTAAGTAATCTGCCACCACTAAGATTTTGATACTTCCGGTTTCGGTGTTACCCTAAATAGCAACCTCCAATGTGGCTAAAAAGTTTCCTGTCCAAGGTATTCCAAGATGGTAAAAGGTCTATTTCTGATATTCAAATTTATTCTTCCGGACTACCAAGGTGGTGGTGCGTCCACTTCTGGTGACATACTCAACTCTGTTCCATTCTCAGGGACACAGCCATCACATCATTCTCTTTTTTTAATCCGGCAGGCACCACCCACTTCTGGCGGGAATAGTACTGTTTTTGCTATAAGTCCACAAATAGCATCCAAGGAGGGGTATGTTACTTTGACGAAGTAGTTGTCATTGTGTGTCCCCAGACGCCATTTTTAATAAAGAGCAAACAATCCAAAGTATATATAATGAAAAAAAGGAAGGAAATAATATAAAATATGTTTTACAAATTGTGCATATACAAATAAAAATATGTGTAAGGTCTGGTTTGCCTAATGCAACACACAGGGATGAGGGAGTCTGACTTGAGGTAAATTGCTCAAAACTGAACAGAGACACGGATTCACCCAATACCTGTCTGAAGATTTGGAAAACAGTAACACCTTTATTCGGAGTGGTGTGTTCAGGAGCTATTTTACCTTTAAATGGTTATTTCAGTGGAACTGAATATATGGTTATGCCGGACTTTGGACAGAGTAGTGATTACCGATATATACAATATGTATGGTGTGTATACCTTTAAATCTGCTATAGGCAGACTCAATCTGTTACGCACCAAATAGTCTGCTTAATAAAAGCAACTATGTAATACAGAACAACGACATGGAAAGTAGTTGTCTGTTATATATTATAATATACCAAGTGATACAAAAAATGATGTGTAAAAAAATAATGCTTGGCTGAAATCGTAAGTTGTATGGATTTCTTATTCACATTTCTTAATGCTATATTGAAATCACTTATAACATTTAGCTATAATATTAAAAATGAAATTCCCAAAAAACACTATTAAAAAAGTAGATATATTAAAAATAATATAAAAATTTATTCACAATAAGATATATATAAAAAACATGTATAAAAGTATTGCAAGTAAAAAATAAAGGTCAGGAACGATTAACAAGTATATTGCCAGCAGTACGATCGTCCTTATAGCATAATAACCACTGGGACCGGTTAGGATTACTGTAGATACTTTGTATCAAAAAAGAAATCACTGTACTTGCTGTTGTGGAAATAAGGTCTGCACATATTTCCTAGTTAGTGAAAATGTCTATTTACTCATTCCACGATATATTATATATAAAGCTATACACACGTGCTCTAATCAAGATGGCTACTTCCTCCCCCTGCCCCTTTAAACACCGACTAACTACCTCGTGCAGCAAGATGGCGCCGGGAAACCATGGGAGACCCTCATGGACCTGGTGACATGAAATATTGACATATTTTTAGCTAGTAAAATGTCTATTTACTTCATTTAGTTATACTTAATATTATTCAATAAATTACTAAACTGACCACTAGATGTCACTCAGGAGTACCCCACCCATCGACCAAACACTCTAATTTTCAAGATGGCGCTGGAATCCTGGGGGAGAACTCCATGACGACAGTAATGACATAAGAAGGCACACCCTGTAGGACGTGCTTTGAATAAAACACTTAACACTTAACCAATTATTGATGTATTATTCCATGTTATCTCTGACAATGCTTATGATGTAATTTTGCTTTAAAAGGGACCTGCCGTCCCCTCTGAATAAACTTTCCTCAAGTTATTCAACAACCTGGAACCTGTGTCTGGTGTGAATTACTTCAGGGAGCGTGCACGCATTGTTTCATTGATTTGGCCAGGGGCAGATACACAAAGAAATAATCAATACTTTAATTGATTTTTCCATTTCAATTGGCGCCCAACGTGGGGCTCCCGGATTTGCCGGTTCGGAGGGCCGGATACCAAGGACCAGAGCGGACCCCCAGAAAATGGGACAAGCGGAGCCTGATCACCTCCATAATACAGCCGTTGCCTGTGTTATTCTCCTGTTTTGTGTCGGTCTGTCTCCGAGTCCACTTCCGGCTTCCAGAAGGCTACTAGAGACAGGTATTTAGCTCATCCGGGGTACCCTTTTAAAGTGAACCTGTCGATTGTCTATCTGCCTCCTGTATTTGTTTGAATGTGTGTGACGGCCGGAGTGTGTGTTTTCCCCCTTTTTAAAAGACAATAGCTTGACTGCCTAGCGGGCAGGGAACGCATTACAGCCGGTGGGGCTGGGTTTTATATGTTAGCTTGACTGCCTAGCGGGCAGGGAACGCATTACAGCCGGTGGGGCTGGGTTTAATATGTTAGCTTGACTGCCTAGCGGGCAGGGAACGCATTTTATATGTTAGCTTGACTGCCTAGCGGGCAGGGAACGCATTACAGCCGGTGGGGCTGGGATTTTATGTTAGCTTGACTGCCTAGCGGGCAGGGAACGCATTACAGCCGGTGGGGCTGGGATTTTATGTTAGCTTGACTGCCTAGCGGGCAGGGAACGCATTACAGCCGGTGGGGCTGGGATTTTATTTGATTACTGCAGAGTTTCATTGGTACTTGTGTTATAACGGGGCCAGCCTGGTGGGGGAGGGCTGGGGATTGCTACATTTTAAATATTTGGTACTAGTGGTGTTAACATGTGCATGGCCATTTTACTCTCTGTCATTCTGTGGTTTTTTGTTTAATTGTTGTTACAGTGTGGGTACCCTTGGTGTGTGTGTGTGTGTATGTATATAGTGTGGCTAGTTCTGGATTCTGGGGTTTACACTCATCTCTATGTTTGTGATTTTTGCAAATGTCTTCTTGTTAGTGTAACCACTTTCATCTTTTCATTTGTCCTTTATCTCTCCTGTGTTTGTTGCCCAGAGCTGTGTTAGTCACCCACGCTCGCCCTCTCCGGTCTGTGGCCACCTCCCCCGGGTGCACAGACCATCGTGACTAGTCAGTCGAGCACTGTAGACTTTCCTACTTCTTCTTCCCTCTCACTTGGTCTCCTTTACTTGGCAGACCACGCTTGGTCAAAAAGGGGCAAGCACATACTAGACCAGCTAAGGGGTATTTGGCTTGTGATATTGTTAAAGAGAGGGCAGGGGAAGAAGCTATGCTGAAAATGAGAAAGTTAGCATAGATTTCTGGTTTCCAAACGTATAAATCTCTGTCCTTCTGTCTTGTTACTTTACGGAGCTCACATGGTTAATCTTCATGCCTGCAGTTTCTCTCTCTCCCCTTTTTGCACTGTCACACTTTCTCCCACCCCTACTCCCCGCTTGCCTACATTTCTGCATTTCGGAGCTACTGATAAGAGTTAGAGAGAAAATATTTTAATTGTGTAGTATTGTGTACATTGTTCCATACATAGACGTTGTCAGGCAGGTTATGGAGCTATAATTGTGTAATATTATTATTATTGTTGCCATTTGCATGGCGCCAACAGATTCCGTAGTGCTATATATATATATTTAAATTAATTTTTGAGATAAGGTACTGAGGATTGCATTCAGTGTTGAATACGGGATTTAGGAAGGTGTAGCTTGTAGCTTGTTAAGGGGAATATGCGATGTTGTTATGTCTGTATAAGAGGAGGAAAGTGATTAATGGTTAGAGGATGTTAAGGGAAATTGGTTGAATTCCGTGAGTTTATCTTGCTTCATGTTAAAGTACATTTTTCAATGGATAGCTTTATGGGCTGTTAAATGCATGATGTTCTCAACTGTCTTATTTAACCTGCCAGGTCTGTTCATAGTTTAATATTTCATTTTGCAGAACGGAATGTTGCTTCTCTGACTTATTTTATTAGTTATAATATGGTGTATTGTTGAAAGTACGTCAGCCACCACCCTAAAGATGGCGCCTAGTACAGAAGCAGGTTGACCCTGAAAGTCCCGTGACCTATCTACAGTCACGGTTGCTTCTAAAGTAACGTCACTTCCGCCCTTACCATGCCCATACCTCCTGTCTTCCTTTCCCACACCTATCATGGACGTCACCTCACTTCCTCCCTTGCTGTCATTTCCTTCCCCGCCCCTGTCATGGCTGCCTCCATCATGAGGCCTACCCCTATCATGCTCGTCCTATTTAGAGACATTACACTCTACATATTATGAACTGAAACGTTATATTAACTAAAACAATCATGCCATTTGTTTCCCTGTATCAGAGATGTGTCCGTGATATTTAAAAAAAAAAAAAAAGAGGTTGCTAAAGAGTCATTTGCACCTGTGGTGTGACCTACAAATGAGTTCTGTAGGGCACGAATATAAGAGCATTACAGCTAATTATCCTGATGATTATTCATTAATGCCTGTGTCTTGCAACAAGGGATATTGCAAATTAATGCAAGTTATTTTAAACATTGTATCTTTACTTAATAGAATCTTGCTAGTTAAAAATCGTATGTTTACAGTAACATCCTTCACGTTAAATGACATTCCCCCGCCACCTTTATCTATGCTTGCCTCTCGTCCCCTCTCCACCTCGACTGACCCCTCCCCAGTGTTACCCACTCACCCGTCTCCATCCGCTGCCCCGCTCTCTGCCCTCTCGACCTTACTCACCCCCCCGCCCCAGATCCTCCAGACCCTTGTCCTCCCGCTGATCCCGCTTCCCTTATGCCTCCGGACCTCCCTTCTACCTCGTTGTCCCCTCCCCTCCCGACTGATTTGCCGTCCCTAATCTCTGCCCTCACTGCCCTGACCCAGCCCCCCGTTCCCACCCCTCCAACCCCTTCTCCAGTGTTACCTCCTCCTCCCGAAGTCCCGGCCCCCTCTACCTCGTTGCCTCCTCCTCCCTCGGCCGATTTGCCGTCCCTCACCTCTGCCCTTACCGCCCTGACCCAGCCCCCCGTTACCACCCCTCCAACCCCTTTACCTCCTCCTCCCGAAGTCCCGGCCCCCTCTACCTCGTTGTCTCCTCCTCCCCCGACTGGTTTACCCACGCTGTTACGACCCAGCCCCCTGTTCCCATCCCTCCGACCTCTCCCCCGGTGACCCCTGACCCAACCATGGCCAATGACCTGTCTAGCTCGACATCCGCCCTCTTCTCTGCTGTTACCTCCCTGGTTAATTCCGCGATTCCTGCCCCGCCTCCCACTGATTTACCTCCTCCTCCTCCACCTCCTCCCACCCTTAATACTCACCTATCACGCCCATCCCAGCCGGCCCCCTGCTTTAGAGGCCCGTGCATACCCTCCAGCTCCTGCTGATGGGTTTGACACGGGTGGTTTCCAAGATATTCAGCTCCTACCTCGACAAAGCCGCCTTGCCCATGCTCCTATGCAGTCCAGCCACCCTCCCACTTCTACCCACCGGTACCAAGGACCCGACCAGGCCCATTTAGATTTACTGCAATAGGTTACCGACAAGCCTGTGTCAGCAACCCCTGCCATGACCCCTCCTTTTTGTCAGACACCGATGTCTCCTGTGTTGGGGTGGATGGTACACCCCGCAGTAGCCCCCTCCCTACACTCCTGCATGTTGGTTCACACATACTCTCACGTTTTGTTGTTTCTTCTACTTGTCCCATTAACCTCTTGGGTGCTGATGTTCTTTCTCGGCTCCAGGGTCCAGTTAACTACACCCTTATCACAGACAGACACCACTGTACTCTGCTCACTCCCCATCTTGTTGAACCTAACTGACAATACAGGGAGTGCACGGGTCACACCCCCCCCCAGTGCTCTGGATCGTATCCCCCAAGAACTTTGGTCCACCGGCCCAGATGATATTGGACGCTTACATGTACCCCCCCGTCCTGGTCCAGCTCCTGCCTGGAGCACTTCCTCCTCGTAGACCTCAGTATCCTCTGAAGCCAGCACAAGCTGAAGCCATCACCAAACAAGTTGAGTCTCTGCTTGCCAAAGGTGCCCTCACCAAGTGCACATCTCCATGCAACACCCCACTTTTCCCTGTTAAAAAGCGAACTGTTAAGGGCCAACCCGACCAGTACCGCATGGTATAGGACCTCCGTGCTGTTAATGAAGTAAAAGGACACTGCTATTGTTCCAAACCCCCATACCCTTTTGTCCCAGGTGCCACCCAATTCAACAATTTTTTCTATAGTGGATCTAGCTAATGCCTTTTTCAGTGTCCCCCTTGACCCTTCCTGCCATTTTCTCTTCGCCTTCACACATGAAGGACTACAATATACCTGGACTGTTATGCCTCAGGGAGCTCAGAACTCTCCCACACAGTTTGCTCATGCCATGTCTCTAGTTTTGGATCCCTGGCAGAAATCTCATCTGGATGTTATTCTACTTCAATATGTTGATGACCTCCTTCTCTGTGCTCCTAATTTGCTTATTGCAGAGCGTGACTCAGAAGATCTCCTATGTTTCCTCGCTGCTGCAGGGTGCAAGGCCTCAAAATCAAAGCTACAATGGTGCCGGCCCTCTGTGGTCTTCTTGGGACATTGCCTTTCCCATGGCACCAAACATCTAACCTCACAACGGGTGCAAGCTATCCTGCAACTCCCATTACCTGCAACTCATCACTCTCTTCATGCTTTCTTGGGACTCATCACATACTGCGGGTCCTGGATACCTGAAGCATCCAAACTCATGCAGCCACTCTATGATGCCCTCAGGAGTGAGCCCTTTCACCTCACTGAAGAAACTATTAGCTGTTTCCATACTCTGAAAAGAGCTATTGCTTCTGCACCTGCTTTGGGCCCACCCAACTACCAACTCTCTTTCAATTTGTTTGTCTCTGAGAAATCAGGACATGCTTCCGGAGTCCTTACTCAGAAACATGGGTCCAGACAACGGCCTATTGGCTATTTTTCCTGCATGCTTGACCCTGTTGCAAGGGGCAGCCCCTCTTGCCTCCGTGCTGTGTTTGCCGCCAGTGCCCTCTTGGACAAGACTAATGACTTTGTTCTTGGCCATCACCTCACAGTGTTGACCCCTCATGACATTACTGCTATCCTGCAACAAGTTCAACCCAAGCACCTTTCCTCCCAACGCCACCTCCGTCTGCAAACCTCCTTGCTTTTACCTGACAATGTGAAACTCCAGAGATGCCTTACCCTGAATCCAGCCACTCTTCTGCCACTTCCCAAGGGGGGAATTGTGTACCACTGGTATAGCCTGGATATCAACCCAGAAGTTCTAGCAGATCTGCAACTACCTGCACTTGCACCTCCAGAAGTTCTAGCAGATCTGCAACTACCTGCACTTGCACCTCCACATGATGAACAATCAGTGGCCCTACTCCACTGTACTTTGTGGGTTAGGGATGAACCAGGCCCTGATATGAACTATGAGGCAGAAGTATTCCAACTCAAAGAAATCCAAATTACCCTGACTGACTTGTTTTGGGACCTCACAGGTACCATGCTCATCCTAGTCCACCTCCCAGAGAGTGTGACACATCTCTATCACCATTGGGAAACATCTATCCCACACATATCTCTCACCAGACCTCCCGACATCTCGTGGAAAGACCTAGGCCGATGGCCAAGACCTGGAGTCAAATGAACCAAGAACAACTGACTTCTATGGGGACCAGCAAAAAGACTATTAACTACTGTACAGCAGGGTACCCTAGGTACCACACAGACGTCTGTGAGGACCCACTCATCATAGACTGTGACCCTGATATTTCCCCACTTAGCTGATCAGGCCGCTAAGGAAGCAGCACAACAAGGATGGGAAGTGGACAGAAGAGTGGCCACAGACGCAGTGCCCATCTACACCATGCAGACACTGCCTACGGATCTTAGGCTTCTAAAGGAACAACCAGCTACTGCTACTCCCCAGGAGAAACAAAGTTGGAAGAACAAAGGAGCTGTACTCCGTGATGATGTTTACACTATCAATCTCAAGTTTTGCCTACCCAGAAATATGTATCCAGCGGTGGTCCAATGGGCCCATGGGCCAGCCCACCTGTCAAAACATCTGATGAATTCATTGATTGACAAGTATTTTGAAGCACCAGGCATCACTACCTTAACACAGAATTACTGTAAATCTTGTACTATATGTGCTAAATGCAATCCTGGAAAGATTATAAAGACTGCACCTAATCATCTAGCTAAACCATAATACCCCTTCCAGAGGATCCAGATTGATCACATTCAGATGCCAAAGAGTGGACGTTATGAATATGCATTGGTCATAGTGGACATGTTTTCAGGATGGCCAGAGGCCTTCCCAGTGACTAATCTCACCGCGAGGACTACAGCCAAGTATCTCTTGACAGAAATTGTTTGCCGCTATGGAGTTCCAGAAGTGATTGAAAGTGACCAAGGGACCTCCTTCACTGCCTCACTAACACGGGAAGTCTGGCCAGCACTGGGGGTGACCCTTGCATTCCACACACCATATCACCCACAGGGTAGTGGTAAGGTAGAGCGCATGAATGGCACTTTGAAAGCCAGAATGCTTCAAATGTCACAAGAAACTAACATGCCCTGGCCCGAGAGTCTCCCATTAGCGTTGTTTAGTGTAAGGTACAATCCTAGGGGAAAATATAGCCTATCACCTTATGAGATTTTGTTTGGTACAGCACCCAGGTTAGGTTGTTACTTTCCCCAACAGCTTCAGATTCAGTCAGATGCTATGGTAGACTATGTGACTGCCCTCTCACATGCCTTGACCAAAATACATGCCCAAGTGTTTTCTTCTATTCCAGATCCTGAGTCAAATACAGGTACACACAAGCTGCTTCCTGGTGATTGGGTTATGGTCAAGAAGTTTCTCAGGAAACACACCCTAGAACCAAGATTTGATGGCCCATATCAAGTGCTCCTGATTACAGCAACGTCAGTTAAACTAGCCGGGAAGACTTCTTATACACGCCTCACATTGCAAAAAAGTGCCTGCTCCTGAAGAGGCTAATCTTGCTGAAATATGAATTTATTATGTGTCTTGTGTTTTCTTATGCTGCTACACTTTACCTGGGCCCAACAAGCGGCCATAACCAAAGATAATCATGTTTACACTTTTCTGGTACAATTCTTCTAACACAGATGTAGCTACATACACCTTTGATTACTGTGACATAGTTGTTTGCACCTTTTCCACAAACACAATATGCAGCCATATACAAAGACATACCTAGCAAAAAGGCTCACCTCACCAGACTGGGTAGGAACCACTCACATGACTATTAACACGTTAAAACCACATATTAAGACTCTACATGACATGGTAGCTATAGCCAATCCCACCTTTGAAGACACTATGACAGTAGAGACTGGGTTTTCAGACACTAATTTGTGGCTAGAATGGATGAGATATAACGCCAACTCACATAATAAGACTAACTGTTATGTATGTGGAGGAGCCAGGCCCCATCTGGGCACAGTACCTCTAAGCCTACCTCCTGAAGTAGAATTATGTGTTCTGAGTCTTTATGCACAATCCACCACCAACTCCTCAACATGTGAATCATGGAAAAGGGTTTACCCAATCACTCATGGATATGTCAAGCCACCTGATGGAGTCACCATCTATCCAGGTAATTACACATGTTATGCTATACCTAAGAATACTGGTGTGTATCTGGGCAGATTCCCATCTGGATATTGCTCAACCTACCATAGCCCACCTGTGTCACTGCTAATAAATCATGCAAAGACCATTGGAGATATCTATTGGTTATGTGGTGACAGACAATTGAGGTCCCAATTAGCTGAGCAATGGTGGGGGGAGTGTGCCCTAACCAAAGTCATAATGCCTATCCACATTATTCCAGATGGTAGTCATAACACGTTAACCCTTACACATGTACACTCTAGAACCAAACGAGGGGCTCCTATCCGAGGGAGCTTTGACCCCCATGTGTATATTGATGCCATAGGTGTGCCAAGGGGGGTGCCTAAAGAATACAAAGCAAGAGATGAAGTGGCTGCAGGATTTGAATCCCTAATTCCAATGATAACTTCTAACAAAAATGTCAATTGGATTAACTACATTTACTATAATCAACAGCGCTTTGTCAACTATACTAGGGATGCCCTACAGGGCCTGGCAGAGTAATTACAAGCCACTACCCAAATGACATTTCAGAACAGAATGGCCCTAGATATGATTTTAGCTGAGAAAGGGGGTGTATGTAAAATCCTCCCTGAGACCATGACATGTTGCACATACATTCCAGACAACACTGGGCCCAATGGTAAGGTGACTATGGCCATAGAGAAGCTAGATAGTCTTGCAGACGAGCTAAAGAAAAATTCAGGAGTCACTGACACTTGGGACAGATGGTTTGGATGGATGAATGGTTGGCAAAGGACCCTCTTCCAGGTAGGGACAGCTGTTCTTATAATGATCATCATTTCCTTATTTCTAACCTGTTGCGTACTCCCTTGCATAACAGAAGTACTTACAGAAAGCGGTAGATAAGACTGTGGATGACGTGACCCCTACTTTCCTACATCAAGATATCACAGACCTCGAAGATGACACACCACACACACCCCTACAATCACATCAGTTTAAACAGACAACTGCCTTTCTATAGGGATAGAGTAGGGAAAGTGTCTGTCTTGACAGGTGAGTCTCACGTGTGGAGATGTAGTGGGCTAGCCACTGCGGGATACCCGCGGAGTGAAGTGTTCGATGCTTGTCAAGACAGATAGGTTGCGGGCAACTAGGGACATATTAGGGACAGCAGCAGTTGTTATGGTAAATAGCCATTTTAGGGGGGACTGTTGTGGAAATAAGGTCTGCACATATTTCCTAGTTAGTGAAAATGTCTATTTACTCATTCCACGATATATTATATATAAAGCTATACACACGTGCTCTAATCAAGATGGCTGCTAGAAGCTTCTAACCCCTTCCTCCCCCTGCCCCTTTAAACACCGACTAACTACCTCGTGCAGCAAGATGGCGCCGGGAAACCGTGGGAGACCCTCATGGACCTGGTGACATGAAATATTGACATATTTTTAGCTAGTAAAATGTCTATTTACTTCATTTAGTTATACTTAATATTATTCAATAAATTACTAAACTGACCACTAGATGTCACTCAGGAGTACCCCACCCATCGACCAAACACTCTAATTTTCAAGATGGCGCTGGAATCCTGGGGGAGAACTCCATGACGACAGTAATGACATAAGAAGGCACACCCTGTAGGACGTGCTTTGAATAAAACACTTAACACTTAACCAATTATTGATGTATTATTCCATGTTATCTCTGACAATGCTTATGATGTAATTTTGCTTTAAAAGGGACCTGCCGTCCCCTCTGAATAAACTTTCCTCAAGTTATTCAACAACCTGGAACCTGTGTCTGGTGTGAATTACTTCAGGGAGCGTGCACGCATTGTTTCATTGATTTGGCCAGGGGCAGATACACAAAGAAATAATCAATACTTTAATTGATTTTTCCATTTCAATTAAGATGTTCTAATAGGCGAACCTTCAAAATCCTCTTAGTCCGTCCCACGTATTGCATGCCACACGGACATTGTAGCAAATATACCACAAAGTCCGTGTGGCAATTTATATTGTCTCTAAGTGTAAAGCTCTCCCCCGTGATAAAGCTAGAAAAAGTATGTATATTTTTAATAGATACCGTGGTACAAGCTTTACAAGTACCACAGCCTCGAAATGAACCTGAACTAGCAGAGGTGAGACCTGATGGTGGTTTAATGGCATAACTGGGTGCCAACATATCCTTCAAATTTTTATTCCTTTTGTAAATTACCATGGGATTGTCTGATAGATGTGTCCCCAAAATGGGGTCTTGCAACAGAATTGGCCAAGAACTTTGAAGACTTCTCTTAATCTTGTTATGATCAATATTGTAATGGTTGGTAAATGCAGAACGAAAACCATCCCCAGTTCCCGAAGTATATGGTTTATTCTCCAAAAAAGTTTTCCTTTCTATATCACCAATACGACGGATTTCTTTCTCCAATCTCTTTCCATTATATCCTCTATCTGTAAGTTTCCTTTTAACATGTAATGATTGGGCGAAGAAATCCCGTTTATCAGAACAATTTCGCCTAAGGCGGGTAAACTGGCTTTTGGCTATCCCCCTAAGCCAGGGTTCATGATGACCACTCCCACGATGGACAAACCCATTACCATCAGTGGGTTTAAAAAAACATTTACTTTTTATATGTCTCGAATCATGAGACAGACAAAGATCGAGAAAATTAATCTCATCCCTATTCCAGATGGGAGTAAAGACAAGATTGTACTCGTTGTCATTCAAAAAATTAACATAATCCTGAAACAAAACAGAAGATCCCTTCCAAATAATAATAACATCATCAATATAACGCCGCCACAGGACCAAGTTCGCCCTCCAGCCATGTCCAGACCACACAAACAACTCTTCCCATCTCCTCATGTATGTATTGGCATAGCTGGGGCGAACTTGGTCCCCATGGCGGTCCCCGTGATTTGTAAAAAATAATCACCATTAAAGAAAAAATAATTGTGATGTAAAATAAATTGGACAGAAGAAAAAATAAAATCCCTCATATCCCCTGGTAACTCCAAATCCTGCTCCATGAAATAATCAACTGCCTCCAAACCCATCAAGTGTGGCCCAACTGTACTCTGGGTCCCATTCGATGTTCTCCATTTCTTGGAGGAAAGACTTCGTATCCTTCACATATGAAGGGGCCCCTTGGGCATATTTTTGTAACCGAGAATCGACATAAGCTGACAAATTAGCCGTTAGTGAATTAATGCCACTGATTATGGGTCGCCCAGGAGGGTTGGGGAGACGCTTATGCGTTTTTGGAAGAAAATAAAAAATAGGGATGGTTGGGTTTTTCTGATATAAAAAATCATAATTTCTTTGTGAGATGGTATTTCTCTCTTTAGCTCCATTCAAAATTACTTGGAGCTCTGTATTAAATTGACTGGTCGGATCGCATTTGAGTACACTATAAGTCTTTCTATCCCCCAGGATATGAGCTGCTTCTTGGAGATAATATGTGGTGGTCATTAACACTATCCCCCCCCCTTATCTGCTTCCCTGATAATCACGTCGTCTCTTTTCATCAACTATTTAAGTGTCTTATCTTCCTCTTTACTTAGATTCTGGAGACGATTGTTTCTGTTCCTATTGGTATTCTTAGTCATATTACGAAATTGTTGGTCTACCATATGTTCAAAAGTTTCTAAAAAAGGGCCCTTACTATAAGTAGGAAAAAAATGGGATTTTGGACGGAATCTATAGTCAACATTAGTATCTTCACCAACAATTTCAGTCTCAGGTGGATGTAGTAAAAAATGTCTCTTGATAGTCAGAGAACGAATAAACTTTTTGAAATCAATAAATAGTTCAAAGTCATTGGCCTTTCTGTTTGGGGCAAATTTCAAACCCCTTGATAACAAATTAATCTCCTCATCTGAAAGTGGGGTTGGGGTTAGGTTAAAAATCCCCCTGCTTAGTTCTTTCATATTTAATGGACCTCCATTTAAAGAAATTGTTCCTAGTCCTCCGTCCGGATTCTCTTCACTGGAGAATCCTGACATAGCATTGCAAAGCGATTGGGATGTTCCCAGGTCTCTGCCCTGGTGACGAAAATAATTGGTTATGGTCTTTTCTTTGGGACCTCTTGGTTTCCCCTGAAAATTTACAGTAGAGTCATTAAATTGGGATATATGATTGTCTGGATTATCTCTGCCCCTAGATGTTTGTATATGGGGTCTATTAGTTTCCGTTCTCACAGGTGATAAACTGTTGTTTCTGTTTCTAAACTCTTGTACCTCAGGTCTCCTTATTTCACCTCTTGACCGCAGTGGGTCCTTATTTCTCATTGGGGACCTTCCATTATTCGATGTCCTATGGGTATTGTAGATATTCCCCCCATAGTAATTACGTGCCCCCCATGAATCTGTAGACCTGGGGAAATCTTCCCTGTAGGGCATTTTATATGAATTATTAACACAAAATATGTGTAATACATAAATCACCCCACTAATATAAAGGCAAGCAAACAGGAGCCTATACAAACATGCATAGGAAAAAAGAGAGCAAAGGAGGACAGGGGCAGACCCACTAAGGACAAGCCCTAAGTCCAGAGGAAAGCCCCCAGGACCAAAAAATGCCTGCCTAGAAAAACTCTAAATGCCAAATAATAAATTGCTAACTATACTAACTAACTAAATCAAACATACTTACTACCTAAGTGCTACCTAATGTGAAAAAAAAAAAAAAAGGATAAATCAAATAAGGCGCTCGACGCGCGTTTCAGCGTGCATACACGCCGTCGTCAGGAGCTATTGAAAATGCAGTTCCTATTGAAGCCGGTTAAATACCTGAGCAATCAGAGAAAAGTCCCTCCAGCTGATCCAGCATGTGGGAGGGGTGGGTGATTGACATGGAGTCACCACTCCTCCTCAACCCTGTCATTGCTTATGCTGGAGTCTCATTGGAGAATAACAAAGTCAATCACTAAGAGGTGGGGGAGGGACTTATGCATAATCAGAACACACCTATCCAAACCCTGCTGCTCACATGGGGATAACCATTGGAAGATCTATCAGTCAATCAATACAGGAGGAGGGTGCAAAATCAAGCATCCCTCCTCCTGATAACAAAACTGACATAAACCTAACTAGCCAATATATATGATATCAATGAGAAGTATCAAAATGTAGCACAGGGAAGGGGCTATATAGTTAAGCCCCCCTCCCTCTAACATTTTATCTAGTATAAATGCTAGAGTCTCCCTTTTTTTTTGTTAAAGGGACATTCCTTTGCTGCTATTAAATACAACTAGCAGTGGCTTATATAGGGTATATATGGGTATTTCTATTTATCCCCCTTCACCCTTTTATCCATTTACCCATAAAAATATCCTCTGCACCGGGGGATCTGGGTGAATCACATATCCAAAATTCACCCAGATCTGTTCAGTAGTTTGGAAGATACGGTTTATTGCAGATTCCGCAGAACATATACAGGCTATATGAAAAAGAATTACTGTAGTTTAAAACCACTGAACAATGTCTTTGTGCACCAAATACCGGCGAGATGGCACAGTGTAGAAAAGTCAAAACAGTGTCTGTGAGTTAAAATGGCCGCTATCCATTGTTCTCACCATGTGCTTCATCCATTGTTCTCACCATGTGCTTCTGATACATGAAATGTTAGCCACCCAGTAACTCCACAGTTTGTCTGGTAGTCTATCCAGCTGAACCAACAGATGAAACCCATGGGGAACAGTGCAACAAACGAAGGGAATCATAAAAAATATGGACAATAGTCATATTTGTGCACAATCTCCAGTTTTGTCAAAGGGCACAAATAGTGTTTTCAAATGCCATATATCCCAGGGCCATAGTCAGAAGGTAGGAGGCGGGCAAGCAGCCCTCTCCAATGTCCAGTGGCAAATGGGAGTTTGTCACAGTACACTCCTTGATCATTGTGTACTAA